GCTTTTTTCTTTTTTCTTATGTGGTGCTGAGGAATCAAACCCAGGGCCTCAAGCATGCAAGGCAAGTGCTCTACCACTGAGCCACCTTCCCAGCCCCTGTGAGACTCTTAATCTCCAATAAACCACCAGAAAACCAGAAGTGGCACTGTGGCTCAAGTGGTACAGCGCTTACCTTGAGCTGAAGAGCTCAAGGACAGTGGCTAAGCCCAGAGTTCAAGCCCTATGACCAACAATAACAACAAAAAGTCTCACAGACTTCCCTGCCCAGGCTGGCTTCAAACTGCAATCTCAGCATTCTGAGTAGCTAGGATTACAGACATAAGCAGGCACCCAGCTTATCTCCGAGCTTTTTCATTCAAAGCTAGTATTCTGTTGTTTAAGCCACACTCTTACTTCCAGCTTTTTGCTGGTTAATTGGAGATAAGAATCTCATAGACTTTCCTGCCCCGAGTTGCTTCAAACTCATGCTTAGATCTCAGCCTCCTGAGTAGCTAGGGTTATAGGAAGTCTTCTGGGGAGTTTTGTTTTGTTTTTTGTCAGTCATGGGACTTGAACTCTGGGCCTGGGCAGATAAAAGAGTCTCACAGACTTTCTTGCCTGGGCTGGCTTTGAATCTCAATCCTCAGATCTCAGCCTCCTGAGTAGCTAGGGTTATAGGAAGTCTTCTGGGGAGTTTTGTTTTGTTTTTTGTCAGTCATGGGACTTGAACTCTGGGCCTGGGCAGATAAAAGAGTCTCACAGACTTTCTTGCCTGGGCTGGCTTTGAATCTCAATCCTCAGATCTCAGCCTCCTGAGTACTATGATTATAGGCGTGAGCCACTGGTACCTGGCAAGGTCTTCTGTTTTTTAAGTCCATATTCTCTGTTATTAGCTCAGCTGCATACTAACCTTCCAGCAGGATCTGCCTCTATCCTGTCATCTGGCTACTAAAGGCTCATTTCTCTGTCCCTGAGGGAGATGGGGAGGGAGAGTCACCCCTCAGGCAGGCCTGAGGCTGTATGTTCAGAAGGCTGCCAGGTTGATCCATTGTGCTTGGGCACTTGTGGATCTAGGGGTTCCTAGGCCTAGACTTCCAGTACAGATGATATAGTTTACTCTTAGGCCCTGTCCTTCTGTGTGGGGATTTTGTCACTACCAGGTAGAGAAGCCACATGGCTACCTTGCAAGATGCCAAATATTGATTGAGTCTTCATGAGCTCCTGTGAGTAACAGCTTCTTACTAGAGATGAAGTATGCACATCTGATGTGACTCTCTCAAAGAAAACACATCCCTGATTTCATATACCTGGGATGGAGAGGGGAGAGGAATGGTGAGGGCTAGGTGGCCCAGGACTGAGGACTTACCTTCATGATCACAATGGCCATCAAGGCGGCCGTCAGGGAGAACATGACAGCTGGAATCAGCATAACCACTGCCACCCCAACATTAGTCTTGAATGTGACCATCACTGCCAGCCAGCCACTGCAGGGGCAAGAAAGTAAGTGGGCCTGGGCACACCACAGATAAGGGCCTGTTTGTCCTTTCTATGGCAATGGGTCACCAACTATCAGGTGAGCAATAAACCCATGAAGTGGCACTGTAACCAGCATTGAGGATGCGAGTGTGAGTGCCAACCGGGTGCTAACAGCAGATTTCACTTGTCAAAATGAAGTCGAAATGAAACTCTGATCATACAAAATATTTATCAAAATGAACTCTAGGAAATGGAAACAAGTTTTTTTTTTGTCACTTTGTTTTCTTTACTTCTTGTTTATATGGCTTTGGGAGGGGAAAGAGGGGCCACAGAAATGGAGGGACAAAGGGTGAATAAATGCAGCAGTGGTAACCCCTAGACACTATGTTGAAAACGAACTATACAACTTATAGGTGGGGATGGGAGGGAAAAACTAGGAAAGAGCAAATAAAGGGATGACATCACCCTCTCCCCAAAAATGTACTCTTTTTCTTTTTTTTTTTTTTGGCCAGTCCTAGAGCTTGAACTTAAGGCCTGGGCGCTGTCCCTGAGTTTCTTTTGCTCAAGGCTAGCACTTGAGCCAGAGCACCACTTCTGGCATTTTCTGTGTATGTGGTACTGAGGAATCGAACCCAGGGCTTCATGCATGTTAGGCAAGTACTCTACCACTAAGCCATGTTTCCAGCCCCAAAAATGTACTCTTTACTTGATTTACATAACCATAACCCCTCTGTATTATTTCCTTTATAACAATTCTAAAAAGGTTTTTTTTTGTTTGTTTTTTTGGGTCCGGTCATGGGGCCTGAACTCTGGGCCTGGGCGCTATCCCTCAGCTCTTCAGCTCAAGGCTAGCGCTCTACCACTTGAGCCACAGCGTCACTTCTGGCTTTTTTCTTTTTGCTTATGTGGTGCTGAGGAATCAAACCCAGGGCCTCTGGCATGCAAGGCATGTGCTCTACCACTGAGCCACCTTCCCAGCCCCATCTAAAAAGGTTTTAAGGGCTGGCTTAGTGATAGAGTACTCACCTACCATGCATGCACAAAGCCCCAGTTTCGGTTCCTCAGTTTCACATCATCAGAAAAAGCCAAAAGTAGCCAGGCGCCAGTGGCTCACGCCTGTAGTCCTAGCTACTCAGGAGGCTGAGAGCTGAGGACTGTGGTTCAAAGCCAGCCTGGGCAGGAAAAGCCAAGAAACTCTTATCTCCAATAAACCACCAGAACACCAGAAATGGCATTGTGGCTCAAGTGGTAGAGTACTAGCCTTGAGCTGAAGAGCTGAGGGACAGTGCTCAGGCCCAGAGTTCAAGCCCCATAACTGACCAAAAAGAAAGCAAGAAAGAAAAAAAAAAGCCAGAAGTGGAGGTGGAGCCATGGAGTTCAAGCCCCAAGAGTGCCAAAAAGAAAAGAAAAATAACAAAGTTTTTAAAGGCCCAAAGCAAACTTTAAAATAAAATTAAAAAATTAAAAAGTTGGGTCTGGGAATGAGGCTCAGTGGTAGAGTGCTTGCCTAGCATACATGAAACCCTGAGTTTAAATGCTCAGTACTGCATACACAGAAAAAGCCAGAAGTGGCATTGGGGCTCAAGTGGTAGAGGGCTAACCTTGAGCACAGAGAGACTCAGGGATAGTGACCAGACTAAATTCAAGCCCCATGAACAACAACAGCTAAATAATAAGTAAATAAATAATATTTTTTTAAAAAGTTGCCAGGCACCTATGGCTCATGCCTGTAATCCTAGCTACTCAGGAGGCTGAGATCTGAGGCTCCACAGTTCAAAGCCAGCTGGGCAGAAAAGTCCATGAGACTCATATTTCCAATTACCACCAGAAAACCAGAAGTAGAGCTATGGCTCAAAGTAGTAGAGCTCTATCCTTGAGTAAAAGAGCTCAGGGACATCACCCAGACCCTGAGTTCAAGCCCCAAGTCCAAGGAAAAAAAGAGAGAGAAAACAAAAGGAAATCACAGAACAAAAGATTTAAGATAAGGTCTCACCAAGTCCACCAATGTTAGTATTGTGCCTCAATTCTCAAAATTAACTTTGAAAAAGCTTAAATTTAGCCTAAAAGTTTTTTGGGGTGGGGGCTGGGGACTGTCCCTGAGCTTTTTTCACTCAAGGTTAATATTCTACCATTGAGTCACAGCTTCACTTCTGGCTTTTTGATGGTTAATTGAAGATAAGGGTCTCATGGACTTTTTGCCTAGGCTTACTTTGAACCATAATCAGATCTCAGCCTCCGGAGTGGCTAGGATTACAGGCTTGAGCCACCAGCACCCAGCCTGTGAGACTCTTAACTCCAATTAAATCACAGAAAAAGCTAGAAGTGGTTGTTCTGTGGCTCAAGTGGTAGAGTTTTAGCCTTGAGCAAAAGGAGCTCAAGGACAGCACCCAGGCCCATAGTTCAAGCCTCACAACTGGCAAAAAAAGAAAAAAACAGGGCTGGGAAGGTGGCTCAGTGGTAGAGCGCTTGCCTTGCATGCACAAGGCCCTGGATTCGATTCCTCAGCACCACATAAGCAAAAAGAAAAAAGCCGGAAGTGGTGCTGTGGCTCAAGTGGTAGAGCACTAGCCTTGAGCTGAAGAGCTGAGGGACAGTGCCCAGGCCCAGAGTTCAGGCCCCACGACCGGACCAAAAAAAAAAAAAGAAAGAAAAAAACAAACAGAGAAAGAGAGACGGTCTAGTCCAGATATACATGAAGCAGAAGCCTCTGCCAGCAGCCAGTTACCATGGGGAACAGACACCACCCCACCTTCATTGGACCACAGCCTCTCTGGAGACTACCAGAGCTGGGCACCGGTGGCTCATGCCTGTAATCCTAGCTATTCAGGAAGCTGAGATCTGAGGATCACAGTTCAAAGCCAGTCCAGGCAGGAAAGTCTGTGAGATTCTTATCTCCAATAAACCACTAGAAAACCGGAAGTAGCATTGTAGCTCAAGCAGTAGAGGGTTCGCCTTGAGCTGAAGAGCTGAGGGATAGTACCCAAGCCCAGAGTTCAAGTCCCACAACCGACAAAAAAAAAAAAGGACTACAGGATACTGTTACCTGAGTTCCCATGTACTTGGGGTGCCTTTGTAACAGCACACAACATATCTGACTAACACATACACAACACAATGTACCACACAACACTTAGAGTGTTCAGAACTTACCATGTGCCCCAGCCTACAAAGCCAATTGTCTGGATGGCAGTCAGGATGAACTGAGCTCCAAAGATGAAGAAAAACAGCATGAAATTAAAGGAGCTGTCGGCTCTACAAAGGGACAAAAAACACTGCTGTGATGGTGACACTTGACACTTGTGTTGCTTTAAGAAGTAATATTTTAACCAGGCACCATTGGCTCACACCTGTAATCCTAGCTACTCAGGAGACTGAGATCCGAGGATTGCAGTTTGAAGTCAGACTGCGCAGGAAAGTCCATGACACTCTTACCTCCAATTAACCACCAGAAAACGAAGTAGCACTGTGGCTCAGGTAGTAGAGCACTAGCCTGGAGCTGAAGAGCTCAGGGACAGCACCCAGGCCAAGAGTTCAAACGACATAATTGACCAAAAAAAAAAAAAGAGAGAGATGGAGAGAGAGAGAAAGACAGAAAAGAAAGAAAAGAATATTTTGCTGGGTAGCAGTAGCTCACAGCTGTAATTCTAGCTATTCAGAAGGCTGAGATCTGGTACAAAGCCAGCCTGGGCAAGAAAGTCCATGAAGAAAACCATAAGTGGCGCTAGGCTCAAGTAGCAGAGCACTAGTCTTGAGCTGACGAGCTCAGGGACAGTGCCCAGGCAGAGTTCAAGCCCCACAAGCAATAAAAACAAAAACAAACAAAAAAGATTTGGTCTATGGGCTCTAGTTTGCTGACTCCAATATAAACTTCCACAAAGGAAGGAAGAAGCTGGGTGCCAGTGGCTTACGCCTGTAATCCTAGCTACTCAGGAGGCTGAGATCTGAGGATCATGGTTCAAAGCCAGCCTGGGCAGAAAGTCCATGAGACTCCAATTAACCACCAGAAAACTGGAAGTGGCACTGTGGCTCAAGTGGTAAAGCATTAGCCTTGAGCTGAAGAGCTCTGGGACAGTGCCCAAGCTCCAGAGTTCAAGACCAGCAATCCACAAAAAAAAAAAAAAAAAAAAAAAAAGGAGGAAGAGATGTTGTTCACTCCACTAAAGCCCAATGAATACCAGGACCATTCTAGGCAGCTGGCACCAGGCTCGGCTCTGGTGGGGGAGAACTGGTAACAGAAACCAGACCACAGTTGGGTGGGCAGCCACCCCAACACTAAGCAAGATCTTCAGCAGCAGAGATGTCCAGAGATGCCTACAGGGAGCAAGTGTGACAAAACCTGGGTATAAGCTGGCTCGTCCAAGCAGCTAACTTACCGAAAGGCTTTGTAGGCTGGTCGGAACCAGCACACATAGCCACATGGGGTAAAGAGCAGCAGCCAGAGGAAAGCCAGGCCAAAGTTGACTCCAGAACCACCACAAATCCACCAGACCAGACAGGCGATGAGGTTGACCCCAAGGGTGGTACAGTAAACTGGAGGGGAGGAAAGAGAAGGGTGGGGTAGACTAAGCAGGATAGAGAGAAGGGGCACTGGGTTGGGTACCCACCTCCCTGGCCTCAGGACTTTCACACATTAGAGATGAGCTGGGGCAATCCATACTAGCAGGCCAGGCTTAGGATGCAGGGACAAGGGGATTCCTGGCAGGCCACTCAGGCCCTCAGGGAAGGCTGCTGTCCCCAGTTGCCCCAGTTGCCACGTCCACACTGCACAGTGCTACATTGGGATAGCAGCCTTTCCACAAAAGACACACAGTTTAGACTCCCCGCCAGCTACCAGTTGGTGCCTACAGCCCTAGGGCTTACATATCCAAAGGCGGTAGATCCTCTTCACTAAGACCTGGTGCTCAATGGGAATCTCATCAGAAAAGTCCTGGTAGAAACATGGTTTCAGCGGGATGAACTTGGGCAAAGGTGGAAAGTTGTTCTCCTTCCCTAAGGAAGGAAAAAACCCACAGGTCACATGATCACATTCTGTCCAAAGCATGTCAGGACATCTGGTGGAGGATCCCCCTAGAACCATAAATTGAGGTGGGAAGGTGGTTCAGTGGCAGAGTGCCTGCCTTGCATGCATTAGGCCCTGGGTTTGTTGCCTCAGCACCACAGAAGCAGAAAAAGCTGGAAGTGGCGCTGTGGCTCAAGTGGTAGAGCACTAGCCTTGAGCTGAAGAGCTGAGGGACAGCGCCCAGGCCCAGAGTTCAGGCACCACAACGGGCAAAAAAAAACAAACAAACATAAATCACCTGCCCTACCACAGCTGGGCTCTAGCCCAAGAAGTCTCCATGTCAAGCATCTGACCCCCTGGAACAAAGTTCCAGCCCCATGACCAACAACAAAAAAATTTCTTAGCCGGGCGCTGGTGGCTCATGCCTGTAATCCTAGCTACTCAGGAGGCTGAGATCTAAGGATTGTGGTTTGAAGCCAGTCCAGGGAGAGGAAAGTCCACGAGACTTTTTTATTTGTTGTTGTTGGTCGTGGGGCTTGAACTCTGGGCTTGGGCATTGTCTCTCAGCTCTTCAGCTCAAGGCTAGTGCTCTACCACTTGAGCCACAGCACCACTTCCAGTTTTCTGAGTTGTTTATTGGAGATAAGTCTCACGGACTTTCCAGTCTGGTCTGGCTTTGAACCTTGATCCTCAGATCTCAGCCTCCTGAGTTGCTAGGATTAGATATGAGTCATGGGGTGCCTGGCTCATGAGATTCTTTGTTTTTGTTTTGTTTTTTTGTTGGTTGTGGGGCCTGAACTCTGGGCCTGGGCGCTATCCCAGAGTCCTGGGGCTTGAACTCTGAGCCTGGGTGCTGTCCCTCAGCTCTTCAGCTCAAGGCTAGTGCTCTACCACTTGAGCCACAGTGCCACTTCCAGCTTTTTCTGCTTATGTGGTTCTGAGGCATCAAACCTAGGGCCTCATGCATGCAAGGCACTTTACCACTGAGCCATCATCCCAGCCCTCAGGCGATTCTTATCTCCACTTAACTACCAGAAAACCAGAAGTGGCACTATGGGTAAAAGTGATAGAACGCTAGCCTTGAGGGAAAATCCTCAGGGCTGGGAAGGTGGCTCAGTGGTAGAGCGCTTGCCTTGCATGCCTGAAGCCCTGGGTTCGATTCCTCAGCCCCACATAAGCAAAAAGAAAAAAAGCCGGAAGTGGCGCTGTGACTCAAGTGGTAGAGCGCTAGCCTTGAGCTGAAGAGCTGAAGGACAGTGCCTAGGCCCAGAGTTCAGGCCCCACAACCGGACCCCCCCCAAAAAAAGAGGGAAAAACCTCAAGGACAGTACCCATGCCTATAATTCTAACTACTCAGGAAGCTGAAATCTGAAGATAGTTCATAGCAGTCTATACAGCAAAGTGAGACTATTTATCTCCAATTAACTACCAGAAAACTGGAAGTGACACTGTGGCTCAAGTGGTAGAGTGCTAGCCTTGAGTAAAAGAAGCTCAGGAACAGTGCCCAGGCCCTCAGTTCAAGCCCCAGGACTAGCAAAAAAAAAAAAAAAGGGTACAGTGTGAGACCTGCTCAAATACTCCAGGCCTGTGTGCACTGCAGGACTGCAGCACAGATAAGGGAGTCCAGACTCTGAGGCGGCCATCAGGCAGGGGGCATGGACCACATAGAGCCCTGAAGTGAGTGCACCATAGTAAGTCTAGGAGTGGAGAGACCAGCAGGGAGATGATGGGAGGTAGGAGCTGCAGATGAACCTCCAAGGACGGCTTCACTTGTTTTTTGGTTTTTCTGATCAATTGTGAGGCTTGAACTCAAGGATTGGGAGCTTTTTCTACTCAATGCTGGCGCTTACCAACTTGAGCCACAACTCAACTTCTGGCTGGTTCTGGTAATGAATTGGAGATAAGAGTCTCACAGACTTTCCTGCCTGGACTGACTCTGAATTGCAATCTTCAGATCTCAATCTCTAATAGCTAGGATTACAGGCATGAGCCATGGCACCTGGCTGCTTCACTCATTTCTGGTACAAATGAAGGTGACCATGTGACTCTGCCACTGTGGATATGGCGGCTTTGCAGGTGGGCATGTCTGCACCGCACAGCTGCCCAAGGTGCAATAAGGCAGAAAGCCCTGTTGCAGGCTCCAGAGGTGGGGTGAAGTACTAGCTGAAACCATGGTCTCATATAGAAGCTGCTTACATCACTCCCACTGGGGGCCAGGTCCTAGAAAAGAGCAGACTCCTTGCTTGGTGGGACTTACCTGACATTTCTGCTCTGGCTGATCTGGTCACCCTGGCTGAAGGCTGCAGCCACCTGAAAGGAAACAGGATGTCAGGGACCCCATAGCCACAGGTGATCAGATGCCCACTTGTAGCCTGGGTCCTAAGTGGGGCATCCATCATGACCAAAAGCCCCGTCAGGCTGGTTGCTGATGGCTGTTATCCTATTAACTCAAGAGGGTGAGATAAGAAGACTGGGTCAGAGGCAGCCCAGTAGAAAATTCTGTGAGAAGCCGGGCACCAGTGGCTCACGCCTGTAATCCTAGCTACTCAGGAGGCTGAGATCTGAGAATCTCGGTTCAAAGCCAGCCCAGGCGGAAAAGTCCATGAGACTCTTATCTCCAATAAACCACTAGAAAACCGGAAGTGGCTCAAGCGGTAGAACACTCACCTTGAGCTAAAGAGCTGAGGGATAGTGCCCAAGCCCAGAGTTCAAGCCACATGCCCAACAAAAAAAAAAAAATTATGTGAGATTCCAGCTCCAATTAATTAGCCAGCAAGATGCCATCTAGAAGCATGGTCAAGTGGTAGAATATTAGCTGTGAGTAAAAAAGCTGAGATAGAATGTGAGGCCCTGAGTTCAAATTGCCATATTAGAAATTAAAAAAAAAAAAGCCAGGCAATGGCTAAAATCCAACTAATCACTCAAATACTGGAAGTGGCATTGTGGCTCAAAGTGGTATAGCACTAGCCTAGGCTAGTGCCTAGGCCGAGTTCAAGCCCCACAACTAAAACAAACGAACAAAGAATTGCTGGTGGCTTATGTTTGTGTAATCCTAGCAACTCAAGAGGCTGAGATGTGAGGATTGAAGTTCAAAGCTAGCCCAGGCAGACAAACCCAAGAGACTCTTATCTCCAATTAACCAGCAAAAAGCCAAAGTGGAACTGTGAGTCAAGTGGTAAGGTGCACGCCTTAAGCAAAAAAGCTAAGAACCAGGACCATCCTGAGTTTAAGACTCTGTACTGCTGCACATGTGCACATACATACACAAACACACACACACAGAGCCCAGTAGAAAGGCCAAGGTCAGCTACTGCCTCCTCTGTATCTCACAGTCAATGAGGCTAGTGTTACTTCCCCTCAGAGCCCAGCTACTTGTGTGAGTGCTAGCTGGTGCTGGCAAGATGGGACAGGTCAGGCTGGGTCCTGGTGCTTCCATCCCACCCTAAGAATTTCTTTTATTTTTATTTATTTATTGTTTTTGCTGGTCTTGGGGCTTGAACTCAGGGCCTGGGCTCTGTCCCTGAGCCTCTCTGTGCTCAAGGCTAGCACTCTGCCACCTGAGCCACAGCGTCACTTCCGGCTTTTTCTGCTTATGTGGTACTGAGAAATAGAACTCAGGTCTTCATGCATGCTTGGCAAGCATTCTACCACTAAGCCACATCACAGCCCTCCACCCCAACTTCTGCCTGTGGTGTAAGATTGTTCCAAGTACCTCCTGACCCCTATGAGGCCCTACTTCCCCCTGAGTCATTGAGAACTGAGATCAAACTTACTGCTGTGACCTTAGGTTATGTCCTATGACCTCTGGGCCGCAGTTGTTGCCCTCGATCCACAGAGCCATGAATCCTGACATAGCCTGAGTGGTAACCACAGCTCCTGTCAGAGTAGCCCTATTCCCAAGCCAGCTTCCTGAGTCCTGGAAGGTAAAGTTGCCAGGCCAGTGTGAGGGGCAGGCACTGGGCAGGGAACTGGCTCTCCCCAGTACAGGTGTAAAGCTCTCAAGAATACCAACTTTCGGGGCTGGGAAGGTGGCTCAGTGGTAGAGTGCTTGCCTTGCATGCCTGAGGCCCTGGGTTTGATTCCTCAGAACCACATAAGCAAAAAGAAAAAAGCCGGAAGTGGCACTGTGGCTCAAGTGGTAGAGC